TGGATACCTGTTGCAGTCAGGTCGATTCCGACTCATAGTGACCCTATAGGACAGAGTAGAACCGCCCCACAGGGTTAACCTTTTTTTTGTCAACCTTTTGGTTAGCAGCTGAGCTCTCACCCATTATGCCACCAGGGATCCCATTAGCCATTAGAGGGATGCAAATCAAAATCACAATGAGATACCACCTCATCCCTATTAGAATGGCAATGAGTGATAAAAAACAGAAAACAGTAGGTGTTGGCGAGGCTGTGCAGAAGCTGGAACCCTCATCCATTGCCGGTGGGAATGTAAAATGGTACACCAATGTGAAAAACAGTTTGGCAGTTCCTCAAAAAGTCAAACGTAGAACTACCATATGACCCAGCAATCCCAATCCTAGGTATATACCCGGAAGAAGTAAAATGCAAACAGAAACCTATACACACCAATGTTCATTGCAGCACTTTTCACAACAGCCAAAGGGTGGAAACAACTGAAATGTTCATCAACAGATGAATGGATAAACAAAACGTGGTATATACACAGAACAGAATACTACTCAGCCACAAAGAGAAACGAAGTCTTGATGCACACTACAACATGGATAAACCTTGAAAACACTCAGGCTGAGTGAAATGTCTGTTGCAAAAGGACAAATACTGTTATGATCTCACTTAGATGAAATAAGCAAATGTATAGAAACCAAAGGCTACTAGTGGTTACCAGGGGTGGGAGGGAGAAGAAAAGGGGAAATTTTTGCTTACGGGGCATTGAATTTATGTTAACGGTGGTGGAATGATTTGGAAAAGGAGGGTGAGAATGGTTGCGCAACTCGAAGAATGTAATCAATGTCGCTGAATTGTATGTGTGGAAACTGTTGAGCTGGCATATGTTTTATTATGTATATTTTCACTACAATTTAAAAAAAAGATTAAATTGTAATATAGAAAGGGAGGTATTTAGGGTACTAAGGAGAAAGGGACAAACGTGGATGCAAGGTTCCTAAGAAAACTGAAATTATGAGATTTTCAGTACCTGATAGGATTAATGTTGCAGTGCAGTGAATTACTATTATAAGGCTCTTCTAGCCATGGTCTTGTGACTCCCACAAAATGACTGGGTGGGACTATGCAAATAAGGTGCTTGTGGCCCACCGAGGGGGATTTGACAGCCTGCTAATAATACAAATAAGGTGCAGGAGACCCTTGTAGGGGAGGGGAGATGGGACTGTGCAAATAAGGTACATGGAACCCTTGTGGGGGATTGGTCAGTTCTGCCATCCCGCTAGGCTTAAAGGGAGCCAATGCCAGAGGATGAGGAGGACCTCAGTACCATCAAGATGAAGACCCAGAGCAGAGCACGTCCTTTGCACCCAGAGTCTCTGTGCTGAGAACCTCCTAGACCCAGGAGAGAGAGACAGCAGTAACACTGTAGGTGGCAGCAGTGCAAGACAGCGCAGTGGGCTTCCTGGCTCACTGAGCAAGGCGGCTACAGCGAGCATGCAGACCCACAGAGTGAGAGAGCTGAGTCTCTTCAGGCAAGAAGCTTCCTGGCAGAGTAGGGTACCACCAGGCACTTATCATGGAGCGAAAGAGCTTTGAAACACTTTTCCGAGGAGGGCAGAGGCCAGGGCCGAGAGGAGCCTGTCCTCAGGGAGCCAAGACGAGGCCTAGCCTCAGGGGGTGGGCACGGCAGAGAGAAGGACCTGCTTGCTTGCATGGCCAAGAGAAGCTGAGAGAGCTGTCCTGTACTGAAGAAGGAAGGGATGTGCTCTCCACTTTGGAGGTGCCTTCCAGACTTTGCCTACATATCCCTAATCCTGATCCTGAGTTGTACCTTGTTGATCTTGATCTCGAGTTGTACCTGTTACTTCCCTAATAAACTCCATAACTGTGAGTATGATCTGTGAGTTTTGTGTGGCCACTGCAAAGAATTATTGAACTCAGCAGAGAAGAGGGACAGTTGGTGTCAGAACTGGTAAAAAGGTTGGAGGGAGAAGGTATGTCTGACCTCCACCTCATAGGAATAAGCTCTGGACTGATGTTGATTTTGATTCTCTCTCCTCCACCTGAAGATACACAAGGTCTGACATCTACAGGCCTTTTTTACAAATGTTAACCATCTGTTTATTACCTTGGAGTAATGACCATGTCTATCTGCTTAATTTCTACATAACTTCTTAACCAGCTAATAATTAATCACATTTTAAGTACTCTATAAACAATAATAAAACATACAGGTAGACACTGAGCAGCCAAACAATAGATTTCATTTCTGGTATGAAGCTAAGCTACTGTCTCCCAGATTATTCACTGAATTTGAATGGAAAGAAAAGGGAGCCTGGCTTTTTTTAAGTCTTGGGATTCTATCAGTTCAACTTTTATATATAAGTCAAAGACATATGCTAAATAAGAAAAAATACATAGGCCAGTCATACAATTTGCTTTATCCTCTCCAAGAAGAGTTAATATGCACAGTTTGTCTAACACCAATGTGGACCAAAACTTTAGAAGCACCAATAAAATAAAAAATAAAAGGTGATAGTTCTAGGTCTTCATAATGCTTAATATAGTAGACACTCAATAAACACTTCCTCACTGCTTGAATGGATCACTAACAAAACAACCAGGATACAAGAAAACCGTTTTTTGTTTTGTTTTGTTTTTTAAGTCTAGCTTGTAAAATATTCTAATTGATTAACTTAAGATATCTAAGTTATCTGCAGCCTCATCTTTGTCTTCTGAACACTGAAAGGGTAAATGGGAGAACAGAAGAACTTCAGTGCAATATGGGCACTCAATACTATAAATATTTAATAAGTGAAATTTAAAGACAGATCAAAATGTTATTTTTGTCATTCAGTTCAGTCTTTCTACCTCTACCCTTTCTGCTTGTGAAAACTGACCATAAAACACAGAGACTTTAAAAAATGCTACTTGCCAAAAATATTTACCTTGCAAACTTGTTATCATGAGGTGGATTTCAAATTCTCCTGGACTCTAGACTTTCTGGAGCCACAGAAGGGTGGATGAACCCCTGAAGCCACTGCCTTGAAATAATTTTTAAACCTTAAACCAAAAATATCCCCTGAAGTCATCTTAAAACCAAATTAATAGTTTAGCTTAACTAATAACAAGGGCCTGTCTTCAGCATTATGCTCTTTTAAGAACTATCTACTGGGATCAGAGTAACAACAGCAACTTAAAAGATTAAATAGGAACCTTAGCTGGCAGTTAGTTTATGTTAATGAGGAGTAACTCAGAAAAAGAGGGTGAGAATGGTTACACAACTGGAAGAATGTAATCAATATCACCAAATTGTACATGTAGAAACGGTTGAATTGGTATATATTTTGCTGTATATATTCTCAACAACAACAAAATAAATAAAATTTAAGGAAAAAAAAAAACTTATCATGAACTATCCTCAGAACAGCAGTGAGTCCATTTTTGGAGCCCTGAATGTATCCACCAGGGCTTCAAACTGGTTTGCTCCGTTGGAACCCCTGCTGAGAATGTGCATTTCTAACAAGTTGCCTTTTGAGAATTTGCATTTCCACCCCAGATATACTGAATCAGAATCTACAGTTCAACAAGATCCCCAGGTGACTCTTACGTATAACTTCCTGGGAACTTGTCAGAAATGCAAATTCCCAGCAGGGGTTCAAACCAGAATGAACCGGATGGAAGCCCTGGTATCTACTGCTCTAAAGCAGTACTACTTCTCCAGACCTCCTTCACCAGGAAATTAAAGTCTATTTGTTTTTGTTTCAATTCTACAGTTGAGGTACTAACTGCAGAAATTATAGGAATTAGCAGTATGCTAGTATCAAGACATATGGGGATTTTAATATATAAAATTGTTTTCTAAAATAATATTCAAATAAGGTGTCTTTGTACATGAACGGCAGAACTCACTAGTGAAATTTGACCATACATTCATTCTCCTGGCAGGCAGCCTTCTTTCTTTTTTTTTAAAGTTTTGCAGAAAGTCAGTCTAAAAACCTGACATGTTTTTAACTCTAAGATGCATAAAATCCACTTTAACTGTCTCACTGACTTCAAATTCAGTAAGTCTTCCTTTTTCAACTTACTTCCATTGAAGAGGATTTCTTCTAACATTGATTTTGCCTGATAAATGATGCTTGTACCTTACCCTTGTACACTGACATTTAACATTTAGGGAAAAAAAGAATTACAGCTACAAAGTAAGTAACGAAAAACGTTACTCCCCCAACCCTTACCCCCAATCACCAACAAGACCAGTTTAGGGCCTTACTTCAAGGATTCTCACCATTCCTATTGCCCAAGAGTCTCTATGGAGTTTTCAAAAAAACATAGCTGCCTTATCTCAAAACTTTATTCAGGACTCAGCTTCACATAAACAGAAACCAGATGTTTCAAAAGATTATCATTATCACATAAAACAAGTTATTTACTACCCAGCACATATACTGAAATATCCGGCAATTACAATCATTGGAGCAGCCTGAGGCCTGGACAAGACCCTAGTTCTTCTCATTCTCCAACCCACCACTAGCTTTTGACACTTTATCTGCTCAAGTACCAAGCAGTGAAAGGCAAGGGAAAAGCTGAGGTGTTAACTTCTAATGGTCATTTCCAATTAAAAAAGAAAACGAAAACCCTGTAAACTAAGAAATTCATTTTCCTTTGAAAATTGTTTTATGGTTATCTGAAGGTAATCTGAGCTGCTTTCCCACTCCCATCACCCTGCCAAAAGTTGGCATCCCCTCCACTGTACTCCCACGTACTCTTCATAACAGGCATCCCATCATCTTTTATTGTAATTGTGTCCTTTTCCTCCATTAGACAAGTGTAAGGGTCAGATCCATTTTTTACTCAGCACCCACCATAGTCCCTATCACACAGTGGGCACTTCATGTATGTTTACTGAATTTTATCCTTGCCCCCTCATGCCCACTATGGATAATCACTATTCAATTGGATTTGCTTTCATTCCTGCCACAGGTAAAAAGTGATTTTATGGAAGTCAGTTACCGGGTTATGGATGACATTCTGTAGATTGTTTAAGGACAACATCATTCTTTTCCACCTTATTGTTGATTGCAGTCTCTCTTCAGTATATGATCTGTAATTTTAAATAAGTTTCATTTAACGCTTCCCAGATTGAAACTGAGGTACTTTCCCTGTGTAACATCAAAATAGAGATAAAGAAAAATAAGCATGCATAATTTTTCTTCATAACTACTTTTTAATTTAAATAGTAAATTACGTTACTGATACTTACCAAATAACAGGATCCTATTAAAATCAAAGATCTCACCCCAATTCTTATCTAGTGTACTTACATACTAAATAATTTTGGAGTATGAGTGCAGGAAATAACGATTTAAAAATACATAAATAGAAATTTTCTAACATGGAATGTATCGTAAAAAATACTAAACTAAAAGAATGCCTTTTTTTTTTCCTTTCCAGTTGTCAACGAGTCGATTCTAACTCATGGCAACCCCATGTGTGTCAGAGTAGAACAATTACCCTCCATAGGGTTTTCACGGGTGTGACCTTTCGGACGAAGATCACCAGGCCTGTCTTCCAAGGTGCCTCCAGGTGCAACCTTTTGGTTAGTAGCCCAGTGCTTAACCATTTGCAGCAACCAGGGACCCAAAGTAAAATAATAATAAATACTAACCAGTCATGCACAATGATCAGAGGTATTCATTTAATTTCTGTTTTCTGGTCTGTGAAATGGGAATAATAATAGTATTCTCCTCATAGGTTTAAGGATTGAGTTAATAAAATAGTGGAATAGTAAGTGCTATATAAGTGTTAGCTATTATTATTATTGAAAGAAAGGATTGTTCTTCGTCCACCAAATTATATATGTCAAGGAAAAAAAATTCTGATCTCCTGAATACTAGTAAGATGCATTTTTGGCTGCTGCTAAAGAAAAGAGTTGGGTAGGGGAGGAGAGGTAACATCTGACACATTTTTGAGACAAAAACACCCACTGGTACTACATTTTATAGCTCCAGGGAAGACTTGATGACTTTTAAGCAGAACTAAAAAGAGAAATTAAACTAAAGCTTTCTACATTCTACTTCCAAGAATTCTGCCACTATGCTGTACAGCCCATCACACCGGCCCAATCTATTGCCCTGTCTCTATAAAGAAGAAAACTGCATCCCTCTTGGCTTACCACCTAATATAACCCCAATATGTGTCAACTTACAAATGTTGGTCAAAACCTCAAAACTCTTTGTTCTGCTCTGTAAAATTTAGAAAGCACAAACAAGAGCAAAAAGAATGGATACAGAGTTGCCATAGCCACAGCCATAATTTACGTAGTGACCAGAGAGTGGCCCAATTTAAGCCGTCAAAAAAAAAAAAAAAAAAACAAACCCACTGCTGTAGAGTCGATTCTGACTCATAGCGACCCTACAGATTTGCATTAAACCAATCATTCCCCGAAGCATTCTCACAGCTGGGTCCTGCCGTTAGTAACACTTCATTCGCTTCATTATGAAGCCATCACTTAGGCTTTACTGACGATGGAAGGAATTCAGATGACTTGCGTTTTCGGTGTTTATTATTACAGCAAAATGACTCGGCATCTAAAATGTGTGTTTAAAATCAAGGAGAGCAATGAAGGTCTGTCATTAATCTGATTAAAGGAACTGTCATTAAAAAATACCAGGGATGAAACTTCCGATCTCTCAGTGTGGAGGTGGCGCTTTGCATTTGGGCTGAGAGGAAACAGCCCTGGGAAGAGGTGAGAAAAAAGCACAACTGGAAAGTAGGTTTGCAGCGAGACGCCCCACTGCTGCATACAGCCTGGTGCTTGGCAGGGCTGTCCAAGAAGGCAAATAAACGACTCCTGGTCATTCCTGATTCCCAGGAGCGCCTAGCTCCCAGAGATCCCTGCCGCCCCACCCCACACCCCGGTAACCCATGCTCGACTCGGCCACGGGAGGATTTGTGGGACGGGGGAGACCCAACGCTGTCGCATCCACCAAACTGATTTAGGTAGAGGGACGTTCGAGTCCCCTCCTAGGCTGGCGCGCCCAGCCAAAGCAGTCCTGCCTCTGGCGACTGCTGCTGCCCGAGAGGGCCGTACTCTCTCGACTCACCCCGGGACCAGGGTTCCAGGCGCTCCAGCGGAGAAAGGACTGCTCGCCTAGCCGCGGCTATCGTCCAGGTTCCGATTGATCCTGGAGTTCCTGGGCGGCTACGGGAAGTGAAAGGACTCAGTCCGCTTCCACTTTCCGTTTCCGGCCCCCCGAGATGTTGCAGTCGGCCCCGCGTCTGCTTGGGGCGGTGTCCACGCGCCTCGGCACTGGGCTTGTGAAAAGCCGGCGGGTGCTTTTGCCGGGCGCCCTGCCTTCTGCACAGCCTCCGGGAGTTTGGACTGTGGCCAGCTTGCTGCGGGTCGAACAAAAGGAATGAAGATAAATGTGTGTGTGGAGAAAATTCTTGGGCGGGCCTGGCTGCCTCGGCCTTGTCGTCGGGGTGGAGGTGCAAGGGAAATATGTGTACGCACAACCCCCTGTTCCTAGATGCTGAGTCTAGGAAGGGGGCGCTTAGGGCCGGGGACCGCTCAGGGCCGGTGCCCACGTCTCACGGCGCTAGCCTTGACCCAGCGAAAGCTGAGAGGGACCCACACGTGTCTTCCTCTCTGGCCTTCTGAGGTCGCCAGGGCGACAGGGTCAGTATCGGATATTTTCTTAAAGATTGCTTCCTCGTCTGCGTTGGATCAGAGCCCAGACAGTGCCATAAAAGATAACTTGCCGTGGAGGCATGCCCCTCTTTGCAGGTACACACCCTTGAATGTAGGTGACATGGTGAAGGAATGGGTTCAGTGCAGGCGGACTATGCCCATCCCAAAGCCCCCATCTATATGGTTGTCTTCCTTGTACTTCCCGCCACTGTGGATTATTCGCCAATTATTTTGTGTGTTGTTCTTTTTTAAATAAGTTGTACACTTCCCTATGGAACAGTGTAAGCAATAAAGAGCATATATTCAAACCAAATTATTCTGACTCATGGCGACCCCATGTGTTAGAGAGTAGAACTGCTCCATAGTGTTTTCTAGGCAGTAATCTTTACAGAAACAAATTGTCAGGTCTGCCTTCCGCAGCGCCACTGGGTCGGTTTGAACCACCAATCTGTAAATCAGTAGTCAGGTGCAAGCCGTTTGCACCACCCAGGGACCTAAGCATATATTAGATCCTCAACGAATCCAAAGCAAATCCACTGCCTTGGAGTCTATTCCGACCCATAGTGACCCTGTAAGACAGAGTAGAACTGCCCTTAGGGTTTCCAAGGCTGTAAATCTTTATGGAAGCAGACTGCAACGTCCTTCTAGTGGAGCAGCTGGTGGGTTCAAACTGCAGACCTTTCATTTAGCAGCCAATCACTTAACCACCGGGCCACCCACGGGGACTCCTACCTCAATAATACCTAACTAAAATTATTTTTCACTTGGGCCCACATGACTGCTAAGTTAACCTGTTGGGCTGTAAAACCATCAGAAATACAAATGAAGTTATGTGTGCTACCTTTAATGACTTTGTTTATATTTTAAAGAATTGGTTGGCTGCTTTCTGTTAGGGACCACAAAGTCCTCGTCTTCCCACTTGTCTCTACTTTTATCCACATTTGTTTTGAAAAACATGTTTTTTGGCACCCCTATAAGCTTTCTTCTCGCTTTTTTTTTTTTCTTCCTCATCTTCCCACTTGTCTCTACTTTCATCCACATTTGTTTTGAAAAACATGTTTTGTGGCACCCCTATAAGCTTTCTTCTCGCTTTTTTTTTTTTTTTTTTAAATTTAGATTTAGGAATTCATTACAAATCCCACACCGGCAAATTCAAGTTCTAATTCGCTGCTATTTTTCCCCTTTCTATCCATTTTCCAAGTTTGATTCACTTCTCAAGATCCAACTTAAATAACTGCATTTAACCCTTGACATACACTGCCTAGAATTTGTAGTTATCTTTCTGTGCATATTTTATCTATCCAGCTTGTTAAGTGGAGAAAAGGAACTTGTCTGATACATTCCCCAGTGACTAGTGTAATGCTTTGCATGAAGAAGACACTGTGAATATTAGATTGAACTATGTAAAACTGTTGATAGTCAAGCTTTTCCATCTTCAAAAATGGTACTTTCATATGATTTAACTATTTATTGATAAAGTGAGGAGCAATTAAATAAATCTTCACTATTTTGCCTGGGTCTAGTACTTCTCCTTTACAAAGTCAAAGTAAGTTGAAATAAATGCACATCAATGCCCTATTTCTTTGGTAAGTGGTATTTAGTTGCAAACGGGGTTGAGTAGAAGGGCCAAAAATCCAGTGTTTGCAAAATAATTCTGGATTAAAATTTCCAGGAATCCTGAGAATTTGTTCCTAGAAATATCCCCTCATTCGTCACTGCTTTGTTCAATGAGCCCAGTGTGTTTTTTTATATTTAAAATCAACAAATATGTACTGAATGCTCACTGTGACAAAGCAGAGTGATAAGAAATACAAGTATGCAAAGGGCTTTGTAATACTTGCCCCATGGGGCCCTTCTAAACCAAGAGAAGAGACAAATATATGGAAGTCCCATATCTCTTACGTGAATTATTGCAATAGCCTCCTAATTGGTCTCTCTGCTTTTGCCCTTGCCCCCCGCCATCTGTTCTCAACACAGCAGCCAGAGAGATCATGACAGCACATATTCAGATAATGTTACTTCTCTGTTAAAACCTTCTACTGGCTTTTGCTCATCCTTGGAGAAAAGATCCAAGTCCTTGCAAGAGCACTTCATGATCCAACCCTCACCCTTGCACACTTCATTCCTAGTGTTTTCCTCCGCCCTTATTCTGCAACCGCACTGGCCTTCTTGCTGTTCTTAGAAAATGGCTGCGATACTCCCACCTCAGCACCTGTGCATTTTACGCTTCCTTTGCCTCCTTCAAGTCTTCATCAAATATCAGTTGTCAGTGAGGCCCTTCCTGACCACCATATTTAAAATTGTAAACAACCTCCCCCAGCGCACATTCCCTATTTTCCTTCCCTTATCTTTCTCTGTGGCACTTACGTTCTAAAATACTATATAATTTACATTTTTATTTATCTTCATCCACCATACTAAACTCCATTAGGGTAGGGAGTTTTGACTGTTCTTGCTTCAGTGGAGCTTACGTTCCAGCAAAAGCAAAAAAAAAATAAACCCAACCCTGTTGCCATCAAATCAATTCTGACTGATAGTAACCCTATAGGGCAGGGCAGAACTGCCCCATAGAGCTTCTAAGGAGTACCTGGGAGATTTGAACTGCTAATCTCTGTGGTTAGCAGCTGTAGCTCTTAACCACTATACCACCAGGGCTTCTGGTAGGGGAAATGCAAATAACAAACACATATCACAATGGTGATTTGTTTTAGAGGCGATTAAAGGAGGTTCATGTAATAGGGAGCACCTGGGTGGCTACTTCAGTTGGGTACCAGGGAAAACCTCTCGAGGAGGTGGTGTTTAAGCTGCTGGTGAATAAAAGAAAGGAGGCAGTCATGTGAAAATCTTGGGGAAGAGCATTCCAGGCTGAGGGAACAGCTAATGCAAAGTCCCTAAGGCTCTCAAGAATTCATTTAGTGTCTTCAGGGAACAGAGAGGCCACCAGCATGACTGAAGCTGAGGGGGAAATGATACGAAGTCATGGGATTTGATGAGGTCACCTAGGAGAGTAGATGGATGGAGAAGAGGACATAGGACAGAGTCCTGGGGAGATAAATCAAGGAGAGGGAGCCAATGAAGAGAGAGACTGAGGAGGGGCAGCCATGGAGACAGGAGGAAAACCTGTTGAGAGTGGGGTCATAGAAGCCACAGAAAGTGTTTGAGAAAGGAGGAGCAGTCAATTGTGTCAAATGCTGCTAAGAGTCAAGGAAAACAAGTTATCCGGGAATTTAGCAACAGGGAGATCATTGGTGATTCTGACTCTGAAGTGTGTTGAGAAATGTGAGGTGAGGAAGTTGTGGAGATAGCTGTACATATTTCAAGAAGTTTAGTGTGAAGAGGAACAGAGAAACGGCATCATAGCTGAGGAGGCAGTGGGGCAAAGGGAAGATTTTGTTTTTCTTGTGTTTTGTGTGTGTGTGTCTTTGTTTTGGTTTTAAAGAGAAGATAACTACAGCAGTAGCTTACAGACTTTTTCCCAAGTCATCCACAATAAGAACTACATTTACATTGTGATTTGTTACATGCATACTTAAAATTACTGAAACAAAAATTTCACAAAATAGTACTCTTATTATGCATGAAGCACTCTACTTTTCATTTCTTAAAATGCTGCTTACAACCCACTAAAATGTTGCAAGACCCACTCATGGTTCGTGACCAGACATTTGAAAACACTTTCAGTGGTGTGTTGGGGCTGGTTCATACCAACTTGTGAGAGCCAATTGTGCACATCTCTTCCAAACTCTTATGTTTGGTGATGTCATGTTGGTTCCTTGAGATTGGCCAGGGTAGGAGTATTTATACCATGGAAACAGGCAA